CGCCGTCGCCGTCGCCGTCACGCGCGCGTGTTCGCCTCGCAATATATACTTCGCTTCGCCCCGGCATCCGGATTCCAAGCCGGACGGAAACCCCCGAGAGCGAATCGGATAAGACTAGAAGACCGGATCGCGGAGCGGCTGTGCGCGGCGGCGGCTCTCCGAGAGGTAGGGAAATCGAAATCGAACTCGGTGAGATCTCTCGAATTTCGAGACTGCGTGTTGGATGTACATACTTACACGCGCGTGTTCTCTCACTCGCGGAGAAAGAATCCTCCGAAAAGAGGTAGGTAGGTAGGTAGGTAGGTAGGTAGATGGGTACCACACACACACACACACACAGGCCGGAATTCGGTAGTAACGGTATTACATCCGGCGGGAAGCGGGTGCAGGCGGACGTCCTTGATTCGACGATAGCGATCGAGACTCCCTCGGCTCTTTCGTCCTCACCCCGTTCCATCCTCTCGACCCTCCGTCTGTGATTGGACCGCGACGGAACTGGATTGCAAGACTGGTCGCGCAGTCACGTGTCGATGACTTTAGCAGGAATCGATGACCGGAGGAGGAGGGAGGGAGTCAGCGCTCCTTCTTCTCCCGCGATTAGACGGGAAGAAAAAAATCGCGCGCGTGCCCACGTATTTTGCGTATATCGCGTCGTTCGTATATTCGGCGTGTCTCTTCGCCGCAACACGAAATATGTGTTGCAGGAATATTATTTTGCAATTTTTACATTGAATTTTGCATCGCGTATATATCGGTACACGCGCGTAATGACAGGCCTGTATTTTATTTCACGCACGGATAAATAAATCTTTGCTTCCTCTGTTATATATAGACAGTAACACACCGGACGAAATTCACCCCGCGAAAGATGCAATGGCCTCCGTTACCTTCGTTCGTGCGAGAGAGTGTACGGGATCGTGTCGGCGATACCGTGAATTTACGACGGTCACCGAGCGAATCCATTTGTTTCATCTGCATCTGCTTAGCACGCTAATACCCGCTTTCCTCGTATTCCCTTGCCCTGCGTCGTTAAAAGCACTTTTCTTTTCGAGCGGAGGAAATCACAAACTGCCGCCTTCCGATACACGTATGTAAAACACGATACGTCCGTCACGTAACTATAACTATGTGTGTTGCGAATATATACGTGTAATTATATCGAAAAAAAAGAGTGTTAAAAATTTCCGCGTGTTCGTTCAAAAATGCACAAATAAAAAGTTACTCCCGGACAAGGTGCATGTTTTTTTTTTTTTTTGCGGTAATTTTTTTTACTTAAGAAAAATTTCTATATCTGTGTAGATTTTCGAGATGCAAACCGACCAATTAGACTTTACGAATTATTACGTGTATTAATTTAAAAACATACTTTTCGCGCGCGTTACTTACGGCCTTGTGTGTGTGTTAAGTCTCTCTTGATTAAATAAAAGTTAATGTATTCACAGTCGAAGATATTTTTTCGTTGAAACTTGTTGAATCGTACGAATATTTCTTCGCAAAGACGTCACAGTAGAAAACATATTAAAGTTTCATAATTTTAATTTTTTATTGTACGTAAAAAGATGAAAATCAATTAGAAAGTCTTTCAGATTTTCTCTCACAATTTTTGAAGAATTAACGAAGGACCCGATAATCAGAACAAAATCTCTGACGTGGCGAGATCTCAGATGCTAATAGCGAAAGCGGATTGCATTCCTACAGTTCACGCTGTCGTTTATCTACGTTCGTTAGTACGGAACAGAACGGCATTCCTCGAGGAATCTTTGTGTCTAGCGATCGTTTTGCAATTGATTCTCAAGCGTTTTTGTAATTTAAACGGTATTACCCCACACGCGTTTTTCCACGGATATGTGTATGCCCTTATATTGATTTTTTCCCCCCTCCTGATATAGGTCACAGTCTCTCCCTTCTACATCATTCGGTAATTAAATTTCGACGTTGTATCACGAGAGACGGAACTGTTGTAAAAATTACTTGTAAATAGGCGTCAGCGATTGTTCGAACGTTGGCGCGCTTCGAAAATTTAAGAAAAAGTATTATTAAAAAAACGATTCTGTAACAAAAAATGTAATTTTTTTCCAGACACCTTTGTATCTCCAAGAGACATGTTGCGTAAGCCACGTAAATGAAATACAAAATACAAGAAATATTTGTTCTTGTATAACAAACATTCTGAAATTCTCGTTGTTTTGTTTTAACAAAAAGACAAACGTGTAAAAATATAAAACCAAGGCGGAGAGAAATGTTCGACTCTATATAAATTGAAATTATGTACTTTAGATATTTTTTTCGACTATCGACTGTAAATACCGTTCTTGCCGACTGCTTCGGAGTGTCGTAATTTGTCACACTGAATCCTGGTGCGCGAGCGAACGTCCTGTTCTCGAGTTCTGCAAGATCGATCGAGTCCAATGCGTTGACGAGATAGTAACGTCACCCTTCGCTTGGTGAGGACGAGGTACGTATGTACACGAAATTTGAAGAGCATTGAGAGAACATGAATTACATCCTCAATTGATTGATTGATTGATTTGCAACAATAAAAAAAAACATTCAATTCATTTGCTGAGCAATACGATTGTTGAAATCTTTGTTGAAATTAGTTAAACTCGTTTTGAAAACTGCATGTATTTAAATAGATCTCTCTGTTAATTATATGTGCTTCTTATATATTTTGACATTTTTCGGCAGCACAGCGGATGCGCGACGTCAAGTCGAACAATTCGCATTGACAAGTGCACAATGCTTTTGCAACGATATTGCAAAGTGCGCTTTCTGTCGAGATTTCACGGGTAATTTATAAAGGAGCATTTTATAAAGGAAACTTGTGAAAGGTGCAACGAGGGCGTGGTCGGCCATTCACGGTTGACCACTGGCCCAGTGGGTCCAGTTTACGGTCGAGCGATTGCGACATCGTCGTATCGACAGCGCCGGTCAACTGGTTCGACCACTGGCGATTATTCGATATCCGCCAACCTCGTTCTCGTAATTTTCTGACTTTGTGCAACTCGCCCCGTAAATACACACACACACACACATACATGTAACGTCGTTCTCTTTAGAGCTTGAGAAAATTGCAGATTTTTTTCGCGAAGAGGAATTTTCGAAAGAAAAGCGCGATTTATATTTTTATTTCGAGAAAACAAGAACAAATTATTCTAGAAAAATTTAACGTCCGATTGAAAGATTTTTTCAAAACGATAGAAAATACGTGCATTAAACACGCGCTCCCCCCGATGTATTTGAATGCACAAGTTTAGAAATCCTTAAGTTTTCTTGTGATTCTTCATCACTTTTTCGGAGGGAAAAAAATAAATATTCAAACTTATTGTAATTCTCTTCTGATTTGCAAGCAGAGATTTCGTACGAGCTTGTTTGCCAAGCTATATGTTTTGCAAGCGTATCACTTAGATAGTTCTATATCGCTTATTTATAAGTCCGAATTGCAAATTAGAAATCTGGAATCGCGTGCATGTAGTCGAACGATATGATCACCACACATGTTTCGTAATCGACTAATTTAAAACAACTTATCCGAAATAAATTACATCGCGTCGCAACTTTATCAATCGTGATTATATCACATGACGCATGTATATGTGTATACCTATGCAAGCTCATACATGTATACATATAGATGTTTACTTTATTCTGATATTTGATGCTTTCGCGGCGTGTTGTGTTAACATTCGAAGATGTTTTTCGGATTTAAACCGCGTTAGTGTCATTTATATATATATATATATTTTTTTTTACTTATTACCTATTGTTATTTATTTTAAAGTCTTAATTCGGAGATTAAAGTTAATTATCTCATTAAAAAGCGGCGAAAAATTTATGCGATAGAAAGCGGATCGAATGTTTTTGCTTTTGCGCGTTAAACGCGTCGAGAAGTCAATCTTTCGTGAGTCAGAGACAGAGAAAAAGAAATTTAATTTTAATTTTTGCCGGATATTCTCGATATAAAACACAAAACTAATCCGAGCTAACGCGCCACCCCGCGCACATACTTAAAGTTGATCGACTTCAGTGACGCATTCTCGGCTTGAATGCCAGACAAATGTCAGTTGCCGCGCTTGTTTCGGAGCAAAAAAAAATGAAGATAGCGAGATAACTAATATAATCGCATAACAGATTTTACACGTACACGTGTAAGACACACG